TAATAAATATATATTATATTTTTAACAATTTTTAGGTAAATTTATTATTTTTTAAATTAATTTACTATTTATTACAAATCAATAATTTATTTCTCACTAGTGAATATTTGATAATTTATCTTTTGTGTCTTTATCTCAGTTTCACTGAGATTTTTACATAAATCACATACGTAATTTTAAATTTAATATATTAATAATAAATTGTTTATGGAATGAAAGAGTGCGTTTTTTTTATCACTCAACTCACGAAATGTACGATTCGGGTTCGGAGAATTCATTCTGTTTTCTTAATATCTTTTACATGTACAAAATAGAATGTAACTTTGTTTGTCATAAGAAAATAAAATGCAAGGATTAAAAATAAAATGTTTCTTTTTCCCTCCCGATCGAATTCTCCCCTTCTTCAACCTTACACCAAATGAATGATCGCGCTCCCTTTGAAATCCGGCGTTTCGTCCCTCGCCCTCATTTTCCACCCTCGTGTCGTCAAATAAATCTTACAGGACAGCGATCCTTCGACATCGTCGAGAGAGCGGCTGCTGGACTACCACAACCCGATACTAAACTGAGCCGTGCGAAAGCGCTCTTATTCAGCAATTTGCATCGCTCTTGAATTTTTAATTGCCTAACGAATGCACTAACCTGAATATCACAAAAGCTTCGATCTTAATTTTAACGACGGATGCAGTGACTTCCCCTCGGACGAGAGTCTGTCGTGTGACTTTGGAATGGTGGACATAAATTTTAATAAACGAGCATAATTAAATTTCACGAGGAATTAGAGCTCGCTCAAAATTGTACAATACAGAAAGTTTTCATTGTCGGATTGTTGATTGCGGAAATTTTAATTCATCAAAATTTTTTTTAACTTTCAATGCTAAATAATTTTACAATCGGAGAATTGCGATGAAGGGAAATTAAATACTAAATATTAAATTGAAATTAAACACTATAATGTTAAGTAGCATTTTGCATAGAAAAGGTCTGTTCTACAAAATCGGCACAATCAAATATGAATTGTAAACATGTTTTGTTTTAAATAATTTTATCTTTAAAGTTTGTTGTGTATACCAATATAGAGATACATTGATTGGGACAGACAAGAAACGAGTAAATATACAATTGGTGAGGCATCAGCAATGCCGCTGCTTCAACTAGAAAATGAAACGGCAAATAATGATATCAAGCACATCAATACACAAAAAAATAAATGATATAATAATAATAACATATATAATATTAAAAAAATAATGTTTATGAACTATAAGCTATTTAGAAAATCTTTATAAGGTTTTACTTAAGATTTGATGGCTCTCAAGCAAAACTCAGAATCGATTTTATATATGAATTAATAGTAACTCTAAATTAGATCTGTATTACAGAAAAATATCTTTTCATCGTTTGTTTATTTTATAGATAAGAGGAGAAAGAGCGACTCATCCGTATTACAGTCTAAGACGAGTTTAAATCCACCACGCTGAATGCGATCACGAAACTACGTCAGTGACATAGATCGCGAAAAACCTGTGGCGTTTTCTGCAAAACGGTCCGCACGCGTTCCAAGATATCCCATGAATGCCATCCCCACCCCTTTCACCCGCCCGCACCTTTTTTTTTCTCGCACGCGGATGGACGAACGGACGGATGTGCGACCGAAACAACGAGCGATTTAATTTGGTAGCCACGCGTATGTAACGCGACGGACGAACGGACGGGCCGAAGCATTTTTTCGTCGGGACAGAGTTTCTCTCTCTCCTTTTTTTTTATTCTCGTCCTTTCCCTCCTCTCTTTCTCTCTCATTCTCCTTTTTTTTGCTTCCCCGACGAAACAATTGGTTGGGGGGTGGAGTGCACGCGGAAGGACGTGCGGGTATGGGGTGCTCGAGGCGGGCGCGTGTGAGGGTGGCGGATGAGGAGATGGAGGAGGAGGAGGACCGGGGGTGCGGCGGGATGGAGTGAGATTGGCGCGGTACAGAGAGCGCGCGCGAAGGTTGGATGAGAGAGATGAAGTGGCAGATTAACGTCAACCGACGTAGGCCATTCATAACTGGGCTCTACGGCCGCGGCCGTGTGTATGGCGCGCGAACGAGGCGGGCGAGTACGCGGACATACAATATACGTGCAAACGCACGTACGCATATGTGTGTGTGTATGTGCGCGCGCGCGGTTGCTGTGTACGAGTTGCCGTGGGGCCGAGCACACGACGATTTATAGAATTGGAAAAACGATATCGGAAAAATAGTAAACTTTATTGATGAATCCCTTCCCGACCTCTAAGCGATATCACAACGAGCGCGAGTCGACCGCATTCCCGCGGTGCTACAGGTGGCATGTAAGC